AGAACACGAATGACTTACCCGTCGGCCAGCCAGTCTCGCCGTTCCCGAAGTAGATGTTGTTAGCATTTGAGCCAGCGACCTGCTTCACACGCTCTTTAGCGGCGTAAACATCATCGAAATACACTTGTTTGGCATTGGCGAGGGAAACATCCTGCCAGTAAGCGAACCCGTTGGCCAAGCTAGCAGCACAAGTTAGTGTCAGTAGCATACCCCCAGAAGTAATTCGCAAGGGGGTTGCTGCTTACAGGTATTTGACGCCAGCCTGAATGATGGGATCAGCGGTGCCATCGGCGAACTTGTTCCAGCTATCCACGGTGCCCACGGCCACCTCAGGGAATTGTTTCTGCACTTGCTGGATCAGGCTCAAAAGCTGTGGAGCCTCAAGACTCTTGCGGTAGAGGACTTCAGAGCCGACAGTGATGGCGCTGACGACGTTTTCATTACCGGGTACAGACTGTTTCAGAGCATCGAAATCCTTGTTAAAGGAATCAGTGTAGTCGGCCCTAGTCGAATGTGTTAGTTAGCAACCAGTGAATGCGAATCCTTTGAAAGTCACTCAAACGACTACGTACCAGATGCCCAAGACGACCTTGAATCCCTTGGCCTTGGCGGCAGGAATGATATTCTGAGCAGTGTTGCAGTCACTGGCAGAATAGGTGCGAACAATTTTAGTCACACTCTTCAGTGCCTCAAAATCGGCCTCGTAGTCGCCGGTGGCCTTGCAGCTGCCGTCTGCGTTCTTGTTGCCTAGAGCGAGCCCCAGAGTGCCGGCCGCAGTAACAGCGGGGATGGTGGCCAGCAATGCAGGCAGCAAGCTAACGATACGCATTCTCAAATAGAACGGTAGGATGATTTAATCCTTATGGACAACAAGTTGACGAGCGGTTGAAAAGCAGAATGCCAGGATGAAGTGTAGAGGAACAGGAAATATCCCTTTTTCAACACTTTTCTGCAAAAGATGCAAGACAAGAAAGAAAGGCGGGCGTCTATAAAAAGAATGAGCGCCGGGTGGAAGCACACATAAGCACACAAATAGCAACAAGTTGGGGAGGGGAGAAGGATCAAAGGGGGAGGGATTGACCGAGTTATTATAAGAACGCAAAGCAGTGTGCAGTACGTCAGGGAACAGACAGTGCAGTGGAGCAATTCAATGTGGGATGAATAAATGGATCAGTGCGATGAGCAAACAACCATGGACCTCTCCAGCTGGTTGGTGTGAGGCAAATCCATGCATTCACATTGTGATAAACCTCCAATGAGGGACGATTATCTGTCCGCTTCTACCAATGAGTAGAAGAAGATTGGTTCTGTCGGAAACCCACAGTGCGTTGTGTAATGGGAGGTTGAAGGGGCATCCGATTGACGGCCAGAAGGGTACAGTGAGAAGACTATTGGGGGATTTCCCGGGGAGTCTGGAGAGGATGGACAGGGTCCGCTTCCTGCTTCGGGGGACTCCGCGAGCCTTACTCAAAGCCGCCAAGCGCCCGTTAATCCCTGGACGCCCTTGCGCTCGATTCTTAAATTGGGGTTCTTTCGGCTGTGGCCTCCGCCGATCCGCCACCAAACGCTAGGGCCTAGACTTGGAACTGAACCCTTTGAGGGATGTAGACGACTGAACCACTCACCCACTTCACAGTGATGCAATCAGGCTGATCGACTTAATTTCCTACCAGTCCCTGTAAGAACAATCGTTCACACCCAGCAAAATTCTCATCTGATGATCAAATCCAAATTTTGCCCACTCAGGTGGGTTCAACTAAATCGAGTACTGACATTGAGGCACCTCAAGTATGACACGGTCAATTTATCAAATCTCATTCAACCAATACTACCGATCGTTCCCGCCGGATGTCAGTCGGATGGATTCGTCTGGTGAGTCTTTTATCTTACCGGAAGGCCAAGAACGTGGACAACCGAGAGCATTGTGCTTCAACATTGGCTCAACCACAATGCAGAGAGGGCCATTCCACTCTCAAGTGATGTCATGACAACCACCTCGAACGCATACGCACATTGGCGCGAACCCTGGAGTGACCCTCTCTGGATGGCCCAGACATTCTGGAAAGCCGAATTGGACCTCAAAAAAATAAATCCCGCAACAATATGTCTGTCAGCTCCGACTTCGGCAACTTCCGTCGCCGTCTAACGTCGCAGGTCATTGATTCGAAGCCGCTGGCGCGAGACTGGCGAGCTGCCTTTGATGACTGGTCGCACTTATTCAGAGCAATGGTGTGGGAGTACCATCCTTCGACCTACATTTGGAATTGATTCCATACCACCCCGCTACGTATCAACCCGGGGAAATGACGTTCCTCGACACACGGATAGATAATAGCTAGGCACTATTGACCGTTGAGATTGACTCTTGAGTAAACTCTTGGTGACTGGAGAAAGTCATCGTTATGCTTCAGAATCAGAGTCGGGAGCAGCTGTTCTTGAGAGTACTAGGTCTCTCTCAAATGTTCTCTCAAGTTGTGACCATGAAAGCCATGATAGACATAAAATCCGCGAGGTCCAACACGCCCGAGCCACTGATCCCTGGGAAGCTCTTGATTGCCACGGGGCTGCCACTGATATCCAGGAATCCCCTAATTTCCGGCAGGCATTTGATCTCTACGAAGCCCCAGAGATACCGAGTGTCTCGCTGCTCATCAGGTTCTAGGCCCCTATAACAACATTTCGGAGCCTTATGCCTCTCCGGATCTGAAGTCCTGGAGGCCCTGGGGGCACTAGGGGCCTGGAGGTCCTGGGGGTCCTGGATATGCTGGAGGTGCTGGAGGTCCTTGATGTCCTTGAGGGGCGGGCCCCCGGGCTGTGGTTGTTGTGATTCTCTCGGAACTAGGAGTCATGAAATGAGCTTGCTGCATCTGGGGTCCTATATGAGTTAATGGGCTCACAACTTACGACGCCCATTTTTGAGAGGTCAAATTCGCCATTCTCGCCCAGTAATGCAGTCTCTAACTCTATTTTAAACCTCAAAATCAGCTGCTAGGAAACACGCAGGAAGAATAGTTGGAAACAAAGCGGTCATCTATCTCACCACTCGACGACCGCGGGTTATCAACTCGACATCAAGTCTATCCAGCAAGAAAGACCAGAGCGGAATCCGGTGAAGCTCGCCATCTATTATATAGAGAGGCATTGTCAAAGGTATAGTTGTTCTCAACACCTGAACTTCAACTTCAGAATATCATTGCGCGAAGGAAACACAAGAGTATTTGAAAGGCTTTTATGAAGGCCGGATCAGCCTCACATCGACACCGCATCTTCGATAATGTAGTAAGTTCCTGGTACCCTGAGACACTTTGTTAAGTACTCAAGATGGCGTGTCATCATTGTGTTCATTCATCCATTAGCAAGACATGATCATTCGTCTTCATTTAAAACATGCATAGCATTTTGTTTGACCGTATAAAGTAGATCTCTGTATGTGGCGCAGTTTCAGAGATCTCCAAAAGTATATTGGTAATAACTCGAACTTCCATTAATAGAATCTCTCTAACAGTTGAAAAGCTCGATCGATTAAATAGAGTATATAACAATAAATCTAGCACGGAGAGCTTGCTCAAGGCTATGTGCTGTACTGTGAGTATAGATCTAGAATACCCCCAGGGGACTAGCGCCGGCTGGATTGAGAGGTGGTCCGAGCGTCTCGAATTCCCAGCACAGCACAGAGACCACCTTGCGCGTCCCGGAGTCCAACAACGACTACACCGTCTCGGGCCCAATCCTCCACAAACAACCCACGATTCCCTGTCAGGGCTTGAATACCTACACTTCGGAACCTTCCAACACAGGTGGAGAACGACAAGACTAAATCGCCCACCATGCGCTTCTCCGCGACGACCCTGTTGATCACCGCGCTGGGGTGGATCAGCGCCGTGGCCGCACACAACATCCAGCTCAAGGCTCACTCCCGAGAATGCTTCCACGAGTCGCTGCACAAGGACGATAAGATGACGGTTACGTTTCAGGTTGGCGACCGGGAGTTCGGTGGCAGTGGCAACCTGGAGATTGACTTTTGGGTATGGCTTTTCTCTTCGTGATTTCTGGCACGACGGCCGCACCTCCGCCGGCGGGGACGAGGGACAGGGACTGTCTTGAATATGTTTGGGAATGCCCACAAGCTCTGTGGTGGACTTTTTCTTCGGAGCAATGCTGATATACTGTTTTGTCGCCACTAGGTTGAGGACCCCCTGAACAACCGCCAGTACTACAAGCACGCTATCTCGTCGGAGGACTACTCGTTCAACGCTCACGCGGACGGAAAATACGTTTACTGCTTCAGCAACGAGGGATGGTCGTCGAACTCCAAGGAGGTTTCTTTCAACGTCCATGGCATTGTGTACGTTCCGGAACACGAAATGACGCAGGACCCTCTGGAGACCGAAGGTAGGAGGAATCTTTTCCGCACTCGAACTTTTCCACCGAAGGAACAGAACCACCCGTGAGCTAACCGCCTTTACTAGTCCGCAAACTATCCGAAGCCCTGGCTCAAGTCAAGGATGAGCAGTCGTACATTGTCGTGAGAGAACGGGTACACCGGAACACCGCCGAGAGCACCAACGCCCGGGTGAAGTGGTGGAGTATCTTCCAGCTGGCTGTGCTGATTGGAGAGGGTATCTTCCAGGTGTGGTGGTTGAAGAGGTTCTTCGAGGTAGGTCCAAGCCTGGGGTTTTTGTTCTGTGAGAGGTCCATCTAACAGCCGTATGCGGTATACAGGTCAAGCGTGTGGTTTGATGCGATGTATTTACGATCGGATTCTTCGAAGGGTGTCTTATCATAGCATTTTCTGCAGAAGCGCCGGGCTTCTACCCTGTTATTTCCATATTACTTTTCCCTCCATCACAATAGATCATCTGGATGATACATTTAAGCCCGAGGTATAGGAACTTATCCTATAAATTCTACCAGACTCTACTCTCGATCTTCCCAAGACAACGATAAACACAAAGAAAATTTGAAGCCATCATGCAGCAATCACAACCTAAACCATCACCAAAAACAACCATACCAAGCCCAAAAGCAGCTACAGAAATAGCCCAAAATTTACACAACACGGCCCCTAATACCTTACCCGTACTTTGTTTTTGCTAACAAATCCAACCAGGGGTCGAGTAGTGGAATGGGAAACCCCGCACGAAACAAACCTCCCCAAAATAAACACCCCCAACCAAACTACCCGGTGACACCCTTCCGTACCTCCCGATGATATCAAACTCACGCCCACCCCCCAAAAAACTCACACGACCCTCCATCCCTCCATCAAAAACAAAAAACTGAGACAATTTCTCAAGATGGCATTCCCATTGGCCATGGCCACGGACGCCAACTCAACCAACCCTCACCCCCATCCCCTCGATACTCCCGACGATCATCTCTTCTATCTATGCTGGCGCCGTCAGTCATGTGACTACTGTCTACAGGGTGATCTCCCCTGTGGCTGGTGCGCGATCGTAAGTTTTCTTCTGGGGGGTTGTGCCACTCGCCATTCGCCACTTGGTTTGACACGGTGCATGTGCTTGTGCTTGTACTTTGGATATGCCTCACCCAACAAGCCCATCCAAGTTTTCGGGCGGTATGGTTTGGGCCTTTCAGCGGTTCACTAACACATATGGGTAGTCCTCAGCTTGCGTGCCCAATCCCTCCAGGGTGCCGATTCTGGCCCCCTTCGGCTCGTCGGAGATCTGTCCGCTGGGGTCCAAGGAGCGGTGGGAACTAAGGGCGCTGCCGTTCGGGTGCCATGTTAGCACGGTTACGTTCCTCACGGGCGTCGGGGGTGTGCTGGGGACGATGGCGGCGTTTGGGCTGGTGGTGTTTCTGGCGTGGGCTGGAAGGCGGGTGGTTGGGTGGTTGGCGGAGAGGAAGTCTTGTGTTGGGCGTGGTGGTGGTGATGTCGGTGGTGATGAGGCTCAGAGTGCTTCATGGGGTAGTGCTATGGGGGTCTCGAGACGGCGGTTGGGATTCTCCTGGGCGAGGAGGGGTGGTGGTTGGGCTGGTCCGGGGGATGAGGAGGATGAGTTGCGGGGTGGTGGTGGTGGTAATGATGAGAGGAGACCTTTGCTTGGAGGGTTGGGTTGAGTCTCTGCTTTTTTCCGGGGTAGGGTCTATATATAAGCTGGTCTGGGCATTAATGTATCCGTGCTATCTTGACTATCTTTGATGTATCTTATGGATTATGAGGTTTGACGCCGTTATCTATTCAGACAGACTGTTATATTCACATTTGTGAAGCTACTCAAACTGTGTGCATGATTGCATGGATAGCTACGGATGGGAGCCGGCACCTTTCTAGCCCTGGAGGACCTGGCTGACCCGGTACTCGACCACAGTTGGCTTGCCCTTCTCGGTGTTGAACCGTCCCTGGGCGACGAAGACGCGGGTTTCAAGGTCCTTGTAGCGCGTGCTGCCGGTCTGTTCATCCGTGTTAGGGTCACGATCCTGTAGCCTTTCTCAACAACAAGACGTACCTCGAAAGTGAAATGGGTGACTGTTGAAGACTAAGATCAGCGAACGAAGTGCCCTCAAGGAATCAGATAAGCTCACAAGCATTGCCAAAAGGCGTCGACCCATCCTCAGCAGCGCCTGCAAAGACAGCCTGGACCTCCGGGGCCAGCGTAATAACACCGGTGTAGTTCAGGTAAATGAGCTAGTTGACATTAGTAGCTTGTCAGATCCCCACTTCCGACATGTTATGTTGGACGGGTAAAGCTACATACATCGGCGTCATCCTTAGGTCTGCAGTCAGGGTCAGTATGGTTCACCAACGGCTATGTCAAGGCCCAAGGAGCGCAGCCACATACTTAGCAACCGCATGGGCGTTCAGACGCAAGTGCTTGCCGTCCGCATCCGCGTGGATGTAGTCGTTCCCGACACCAACAAACTCAGCATCGAGGGCGGGGGAGAAGCCAGGCTCGCTCTTGATGGTGCCGCCGGTCATGGGCTGGTGTCATGTTTGTGTCCAATGTTTAGCACGAACACCAATCCCTCTGACAAGAGAAGCCAATGGGTTGCTTACCACGACCTGAAGGCTGTTTTGCCGGGAGGCACTGCCTTTTGGCACGATTAGCTTTGTTTTAGGCTGGCTTCGTGACGAGGAGAAGTTCGCTTACCGACGCCTAGTGGCGCATCGATGACGACCTGTCGCGTGAGACATTATTTAGATCGTGTGAGTGGAAGGGTTATGCTCTGGGGATGAGAATCACCTGGATCGTAAAGGCCGGTTGGAGAGTAGGGTAGCCAGACATGGTGTATTGAATGGTTTATCACTTGATGAGAGTAAGTTGGAAATGGGAGGGGAGGGTGTAGATGAGCGTCGGTACTGCGCGGCGGAAGCTCGGAGGAAGATGCAAGTGAGTGAGTGAGTGAGCAGTGCCCCGCACTCGCTGGAGGGGTGATCGCCCTCCAGAGTGGCTCATCCACCATGCAGCTCTAGACTAATATTTTCTTGGCTCTAATTGATCCGATGAAGAGCTTGACTAAACTGATCTCCGTTGGTGTGTCACTGCCAAATGTGAGTGGTTATCTCTCGGAAAACCTCAGTATGTGTTTTTGTTTACTCCGTACGGAGACTGGCATTCGAAATATGCTCCGCCTCTTTGCAGGCAGGAAAAAGGCAGCGGCTTGCTGAAACAGTGACTTGTCACACCTTTCTCCACAGACATACACACTGATTGCAGAAGTCTTGGTCTAGATGATTAGGATGGCCTATCAACTTGCACTCTTGACTTGTGCACTTGACCACCAGCTCAGATACCGCGTCTGATGAGGACCTTGTAAACCAGCAAGAGCCGCACTACTTACGACCAGGACATGCACAGTCCTACAATCGCATTTGAAGACGCAGGCACGTGGTCGGATCAGCGAATCACACAGGCTACAGGTACCTTACATTAGGGTACATTCCGCAAGGGTCACACGCCTCCAGCTTGAAGTAAATGCATCTGCATACTTGGTTCGAGGTCCTATAGCCATTACTAGGTCCGTTGATGGTGGTGGTAATCCCTCATATTACTATGAGTCGAAGAAGTGACATATTTATAATGTGCCAGACCAGCGTACACAGTCGCGTTGCTGTTGTTGGTTTTTTTTGCAGCAGTCGAAAGGAGTGGGTCCCGGCCTGAGGCTATCCGAGGTTTACCTGACGCTTTCCCCGGTTGGGCTCTTTGGTAGTTTGCAGCGGACGGAGTGACGTGACGTTGGTCTTAGGCTCTTAGCCTAACGGGCGATCGATCAAGTCGAAATCTCAATTTCTCTCAATCTAGGTATTATCATCATTGCTACCGTCATTCCAGGCTCACACTCTATCTTTTCTTACCACTCCTCCGCTTATATCCATATCCATATCCATATACTCTCAAATTTCTATCTTCTAATGTTTATTCTTACTGACCGAGGTTGAGACCGGCTACCCGCATCGTCGGGGCTTTCGTTCCTCCTTCCAGCTCATCTCTCCCAATGATTCCGTCACAACTGCTTCCGGCGCTCTTCTTGCTTGCGACGTGCGCGTGCGCCTTTCCGCTCGCCGATCAACAACCGCTCGGCAACTCTGAGATCTTGCATGCGCCTCAGCTCGAGCTGCAGGACGATGTCGACCCAATCTCTCGAGGCCTTTCCGGCCGCTTCTTGCACATAACCGGTTTGTCCAAACTTTCAAGACACCAGAGAAGAGAGCGCGGTTCTGACTGAGGATAGACTTACATCCAGATTCATATTATAAATCCGGAGCGTCACCCGACAGGGCCTGTCATCGAGGCGACGGCTCGGCTGGTTACTATGGAGCAGAAGGAACCGATTGCGACTCGCCTATCACTTTGACCAACGAAACATTCCGCTGGATCGAGAAAAACCTCAAGGGCAAGGTGGACTTCATTATCTGGACCGGAGACTCGGCTCGCCACGATAACGACGAAAAGAATCCCCGGGAACCAGAGGAGGTGCTCGATTTGAATAAGCTGCTGGCGAGAAAGTTCGTGGAGACTTTCAAGGATGATCGGTCCGTGAAAGGCATCTCGATTCCGATCATCCCCACTTTCGGCAACAACGACATCATGCCCCATAACATCTTCAAGGCTGGGCCCAATCGATGGACAAAGCACTACAGAGAGATCTGGTCCAATTTCATACCCGAGCATCAACTTCACAGCTTCGTCGAAGGTGGCTGGTTCATTTCCGAGGTGATTCCAGAGAAGCTGGCTGTGGTCAGCTTGAACACCATGTACTTCTTCGACTCGAACTCGGCCGTCGATGGCTGCGCTGCGCGATCCGAACCAGGCTACGAGCATATGGAATGGTTGCGGGTGCAGCTTGAAATGTTGCGGGGGAGGCACATGAAGGCTATTCTCATGGGTCACGTTCCTCCTGCTCGGGCTGGCTCCAAGCGAAACTGGGATGAGTCCTGCTGGCAGAAGTATACCTTGTGGCTTCACCAGTTCCGGGACGTCGTGGTGGGCAGCGTCTATGGACACATGAACCTCGACCATTTCATGCTCCAGGATAGTCACAAGGTGGATATCGTTAATGTCGACAAAACTTTTGCATATCTCGGCGGCGCTGAGGACTCGAATGAGCTGTCTACAAAATCCCGTTCCGATTATCTCTCCAGTCTCAGGAAAGACTGGTCGAAGTTGCCGTCTGTTCCGGCGGGCACGTCGAAAAGCTTTTCGATGGACGATTGGTTCGGTGATCATGATGACGACGCATCGGTCCAAGGACCCAAGAAGAAGCAGAAGAAGCGCTTCTTGAAAAAAATCGGCGGACCCTTTGCAGAACGATACAGTGTCTCGTTGGTTTCTCCCAGCGTAGTACCAAACTATTTTCCGACCTTGCGAGTCGTGGAGTATAACATCACTGGTTTGGAACATGCAGCCACTTGGGCCAATACACCTTCCCACAGCAGCCTGTATAGCGTTTCTTCGGAAAAGCAGGATGACAGCCCGTTGCCTGAGACACAAGCACAGCAAAGCAAGAAGCCTCACTTCAAAGTTCCAGGCCCTCCGTCCAAATCCGCGCCTCCGGGACCGGCATACTCAAACCAAGCGCTCTCTTGGCTCGGCTACACTCAGTACTTCGCGAATCTTACCAGAATCAATGGTCATGTGGCAAGTCGCGTGGCAACAAGCGATGAAGCAGAAGAGGTTAATGGTTCGAAGCACGACGATGTATTTGCTTATGAAGTGGAGTACAACACTCAAGACGACAAGGTTTACAAGATGGATGACCTCACTGTACGCAGTTTCTTCAAGCTTGCTTCACGAATTGCCAAGCGAGGAGGCCGCAAGGGCCAGTCCTCTTCTCTCGAATATGTGGATGAAGCGGACTTGGATGAATTCGACGCAAAGAATGATCACGACGACCAGGATATTGAAGCGGCGAAGAAAAAGCAGAAGAACCGTGTATGGAAAGCATTCGTGACGAGGGCTTTCGTTGGCCTACTGAAAAGCGACGACATTGACGACATAAATTGACGGGACTGATTGGCTCTTCACTCGATGAGTTCCCAGAGATTATACGAGGTTACGGCCCTTGGTGTCTTTTCTAATATTTGGCTCATTTGAACGAATTATGGTGCATGTATATACCACATATGCTATTTGACTAATCCAATATTTGTATTTACTTGACAACATGAAGATACCATGGCTGATGGCAAGCGACAGCGCTTGTAGCGGTCAGCAAGGCGGTGGCGGATCTGCCAGTGGGGTAACATCATGATTATCAATGATCATCCTTTCCTTCCCTTCAACCATAACCACACCTCTGGCTACATACATCAAAGAGGCGAACTACTTCCTGTCTGTTGCTTGGTGGTGAAAGGGAGCACCCACGGCCCCAACATAAGATGCACGGAAGACCCTAATGCCACGCCTGACAGACAGCTGTCAACTGTCGTCATTCCGTCCGCCATCATCTCCCCTCCCCGCTAAAAAGCACGCGGGCGCTGAACTCCCACGTTTAACTACAGTTTTAGTCGGAGCAACTGTCCTCAGTGGCGGTTTGCTCGGGCACAATGAGAATTTCACTAACTACTAAACAGTAGTCTGGCTCCGGTCGATTTCTCCCGTTTGCAATTGGCTTCAAAGCCTATGTGTTACTCTTGCTGCCGAGAGAGAGGCTGGCGACAGGCGATCCACCGTACTAATCCTATCTCATCGCCCCGGTTGGGCCAGGAGCTGCAAGGCAGGGAAACTCAGCACTTGGGCTCTGACACGTATCGGACTAGTTGATGCGCTGTCCTCCCGCCTCATGGCTTGGTCTTTTTTGGGAGGGACGGGAGCAGCCAACATGCCACTTTGTCTTTTTGCCTGTTTATCAATAATATGGGAATGGCACTTGGACTACTTTCGAGTATGATGCTGCTAAGCTGCTAATGCTACCAACCATTCCTCCCATTCGTGCCCGATTCCCTCCGCCTTGGGGCGGAAAGAGTAATGAAGCGGGATTGACGCCTGATCAATGTTCTAGGTCTCGATGATTTGACCTTACTCACTATGTCCAGTGCCTGTCTCTATGGTGGAGTTGCGCCGCATTTCTCTTCACTTTAATTAGCACGCCCATGCCGCAGCGGGCTTCATCCACTTCGCTGCATCCCCATAGACCCTCCATTCGGGCAAAGAACTTGCCCTTGCATCATCGTCTCGCACAACAATTTATTACTGGCATAGTCTCCCCAGGTCTGCGCGCCTGCGAAGCAGCATCTGCTGATCCACTTCTTCAACGGTGGCTGATATCATTGATTCTCCTATAATCAATTGAATCTTCTGTCGATTAACCCTGTTATACAAAGTCTCCTTCATGCAAAAGCATACTCGATCTTGATATCGATAGTATTATTGACCCTACCTTCCTCCGCCATCGCAAGCGACAAGCTGGCGGGGAGGTGCAGCGAATGCCTTGCTGCTTCTAGTTGCACGATGCATCGAAATTTGTTCCTCGAATACAACAGCAGACTCGTTGGCCTCCATCCCGTTGGCTCCTTTTTTCACTGTGCCTTGCGTTTCTAACATTTCTCTCTATTCACCTACTTGTTTCGCGCTTTTTGGTTGCACCAATTCGTTTGTTGATCGGTTGGCATGATTTCATTCTATGCATGCAAGCCAACTTAACCAATTTGAACTTGTAACAGATCACACTCTACTCTACCCCTTTGCAAACTCATCTTCTTGCTTCTCAATACACTCCTCACTGTACAGCAGCTCCTTCGTGCCACAACCCTTCTCTAGGCGTACCTGATCACTGATTTGCATGT